TCTTCGTTCTGCACATCTCTCTCTTGCTCTCTTCGTTCTGCACATCTCTCTCTTGCTCTCTTCGTTCTGCACATCTCTCTCTTGCTCTCTTCGTTCTGCACATCTCTCTCTTGCTCTCTTCGTTCTGCACATCTCTCTCTTGCTCTCTTCGTTCTGCACATCTCTCTCTTGCTCTCTTCGTTCTGCACATCTCCTGTGAGCAGGATATTTTTTAGCAGTGCAATGTTTTGGAAATCTTGTATGGAAGATTTATATTTTGTTTTGTTTTGGTTGACGAAATGCAACACATCTGTAAGCCCTGTCATATTTCTGCATTTGCCTGCAGATTCTCTTCGTGTCAGGCCTCTCTTTTGTCATCGGCCTGGAGCGCACCTTCAGGTTCTTCTTCCAGAGACATAAAGTGAAAGCCACAAGCTTCTTCTTGGGAGGGATTTTGGTGGTTCTGACCGGCTGGCCGATCATTGGAGTCGTTCTGGAAATCTATGGTTTCTTTCTCTTATTTAGGTATCGTCACACATAAAATAATGCGATAAAACACCTCTTTTTTTTAAAAACACATCTCACATTGTTTCCACTTTTCATTTACAGGGGATTCTTCCCAGTGGCGGTCGGATTTATGAGGCGAGTGCCCGTTCTTGGATCTTTTCTCAGTTTACCGGGAATTAGGACAGTAAGTGTGACTTCAGTCATTTAGAAAATAAAATAGCACAATGCTGCTGGAGGCATCATAGCCTTTTTTTGTTTTTATTTTACTTTCTTTCAGTTGGTGGACAAAGTTGGTGAGAGCAACAATATGGTATAACACGACGCTGCTAGCACAAAGGAGGGCTATCCTTGTGTTTATCATGGATTCTCATCGTGATTGTATGTTTCAGTCCTTGCCATTCCAGAAACGTTCATGTATGCATTTTCCTGCTGAAAACAAACACGTTTGTCTGTAAATGTTCCTCCGACTGCATCCATTCCCCCTGGTTTATTCATAAGGAGCATCTGATTGAGACTGGACTACGATACAGATGTGTTTCTGTTGTTTTTACCTCTTTCTACCATTACCTTGCAATATTTATGGACTAAATATTTGGCAACACTGGACGATCTCAGAGGAAAGTCAGTGCCTGGGAGCAATCCTGTTTGACATGTAATTGAAATATTAATATGGAGTTTTGAATCAAAAAAAGGTTGTTTTAATCTTTACAGAAATGTGAAGTGCTGTAAAAAAAACAGTTTGAAATGTTTGTACTGTAATTTTTACAGTGATTTTTTTTCTAAGTAAATACTTGTAATAAAATGTGTACTTTTTGTAAAAAGGTCTGTATTTTTTTTTATTTGATCTTATTTTGATGCATAAAATGAACTGTATAATTAATATAAATGTATATATGTAAATGTAAACATATATACTATATATGAGGTTGCAAGTACTTGGTTCGATCCCCACAGCCTGCACTCTGGGTCCTTGAGCAAGACCCTTTACCCCACAACTGCAGAGGTACATTTCCCAATGTGAGAGCAATAAAATCCAAATACCATTATATTAAAAATCAATTTTTACTAATTTTGCAACATATTTTTTATTGAATAACATAAATCCTGTAGGTTACTCCTGTTTGTCGCAGCAGAAAGTCATTAAAACTTACAAGACAGGATCAGGTTTTTAAGCCAAACGCCCGTCTTCCTGCAGCAGGAATTTCAAACCCAGTTTCCTCGTATCGAAGATGCAGACTGGACCCCTGTATCTGTTCCTGGTCAAATGAAACAAGCTAATTTTAGCTGGGTAACTATTCTGCCATCTGCAGCAGTGGTCAGCCTGCATTCAAGGCACTTACTGCTTGCCAGGATAGAGGTTACCATTGCAATAATTTCCACATAATGTTTTGTTTTTCTTTGCTCCACATAGATATTTCCCAACCGTTCGTTTTCACAGGACAGGTAGGGGCTGCCGCACGGACAGCAGACTCAGAAATGCATGGATCCAGCAAAATACCACTTTGATTTTGATGAAGGAATAGTATTTCATTAAAAAAATTAAAAACTCAAAAAGTTAATTTTGCATTCTATTATCCCCTTACAACATCTTGGCCTCTATTCTAAAGATTCTCTCAGAGAGCTCCTGACTTAACATAAACAATCATGGCAAAGATTTTTTAGCATCTCAGGGAGGAGGGGGTGGTTGACTTGTATCTTAGTGAGGAGTTCTGGTTGACCTTGTTGGATTTAAGGCTAAAAAAACAAATGAAAACAGTAAAAGCAAATTCCCTCCCAGTTAAGATAAAAAGGAACCGATCCTAAAATTTAGACTCGATTAGAATTTTTTTTATGATGATGAAACACTGCAAAAACGATCTAGAAATAAGTAAAAATTTCTTAAATTAAGTGTATTCACCCCTAATTTGAGTAGGTAAATGAGATAGTTTGCCAATGGAATGAGTAATTTTACTCTTAAAATAAGATTAGATAATATGCACTTGAAATAAGACAACGTGTAAATTGTCTTGTTCAATTGGCAAAATGTCTCTTTTAACTCCTCAATTCAAGAACAAATGCACTTATTTTAAGAAAAAATGACTTATCCAGATTTAGATTTTTTGCAGTGCAGCAAATTAAATGATCAAAAAATAGCATCAATATGTTAAAAGAAACCTTGTTTACATCCTCAACATTTTAATTTGCTTATAACTTTTAACCATTCTGAACATTATGTTCTTAATTACCTTGTTTGATATTAATTTGGACTAATCTGTCGGTATTTTACTGTATCTGCTTGCCTGATTATTATTATTTTTTTTAATTTTGCAAAACAACCATAAAGTAGAGGAAAAAAGGTGGATAAAAAGAAAATGGACAGAGGAGCAGTGCCTGCTGGCACAGCTGGTGGAGGAAAATAGAGGAGCTTTGAAATGTAAGCTTGGTCCTGGGATCGCGGTACAAACAAAGAGGCAACCTTAGGTGTCATTTTTCCTCCTGTCAAGCATCCTGGTATGTGAGAAGTTTTTATTTTTACCTAGATTTTTAATGCGTTTATGTTCTTCTTGCTGCAACACAAAAGGGGTCCTATGAAGCTCAATTATTAGTTTTCTCCACTAATTTTTAGACTTCAGTTTCATGAACTCGCATCTGGACCACTGATAAGGAAGTCACTCCAACATCAGTTTCATGTCATTTTTATGTAAATGGGCAAGTTAATACTGAGATAAGACCTAAACATCAAGAAACCCTGTACTATCAGTTATGGTAACATATATTACAACATCATGTATGATATGTTATTATCAAAGTAAACTTTAGAAAAAACAGTAAGGTGACCTTTAAACTAAAACTCATTCTAATTTCAATATATCTTTTTAACTCACTAGCATTAAACAAATGCGTGTTTATCGCTAAATGTATTAAGCTCGGTCACCCAGTAGAGATTTTAGTGAATCCATTTGGTTCAATAAGTTGCAATTAAAGCAGTTTGCATAGCTGTGAGGATAAATGGAAAATGGTGAAAACCCATTTAATACAGTTAATATAGAATTAATCTAAATTCAGTTTATTTCTATAGCACCAATTCACAACACGTCATCTCAAGGCACTTTACAATTCAACCAGATCATCCAGTCAAATTTATTCAAAGTTTTCTATCTAAGGAAAACCAACTGATTGCATCGATTCATTGACTCAAAGGCAATCCCTCACACTAAGCATGCTTGTAGCGACAGTAGAGAGGAAAAACTCTGTTTTAACAGGAAGAAACCTCCAGCAGAACCAGGCTCAGTGTGAGCGGCCATCTGCTGAGGCCGACTGGGGTTCAAGGAAGCAACTGTAAAAGGCGGCTGGTAACACGCCCACAGCAAGGTACCTCTTCATCTGCTACAGATCTCAATTAATTTTTGAGGATTTTCCTCTCAGTTTATAAGAAATTCTGATCGCCTCTGTCCTGTAATCCTTGTGTTGCTTTAATAAAAGGCGAACACTGTTTTCCAGTTTTAATCCTCCTGCTGGTATATTCTCACCCCCACTATCTGACACCACACTTAGACTCATTCAGAAAACAGTCTTTATGCGGTGTGACCCTGCAAAGTTCCTGCGGTTATTAGAGCCCTCAAAGTTCAAACTCATCTCCAGGGCCTATGGCTAATTTGCAGCGACAGCTTCAGTAGCACCTTTCACTCCATCCCAGATATAGTGTTAGGCGTGACGTCATTTGATAATTACCTGTCAGTCGCATCACTGATGTCACAAAATAAGCTGGTTTACTTAATATGTGGCTTTATAAAGCAGGAGGAAACACTGATGCAACATTTATACAAGCTGCAGCCTTCAGAATAAAAAATCCAGAACAGTAAGAAACCTTTATCATTATTATTATTATTATTATTATTATTATTATTATTATTATTATTATTATTATTATTATTATTATTATTATTATTATTATTATTATTATTATTATTATTATTGTTGTTGTTTTCATATTTAGTTTATTTATTTAGTTTTAATGTACCATGAATTAAGAAATCATCGAGTTAAACTTTCTTCACTTGTAATAACAGCCGAGCATGAATTTATATTGTATGCAATTTTTGGAAGGCGTATTTTGTAAAGTGATGCACATTTCATTTTTAGCTATTATTAAAACCCTTGTATGTAAATTGGTTTGTTGTTTAAAAAATATTTAACATACAATTATTATTTTGAAGCTTAAACTGAGTAGTTTAAGTTCCAACAATTAGATCTAAAAAAGGAAACTATGTCTTTTATTCTATGGGCCTCAAGTAAACAGAAAACACATGGACTTCTATATATATATTTTTGCTTTTTTAAATAAAACATTTACATTTGCTGCTTAATTGTCTTAAGTAATGATTGCATATTATTTAGACTACCCTTTTTTTTTTTTTTTTTTTACATGTTTTACCTAGTAATATGATCTGTTTTTTTTTTTACTATTTTTGTTATTTTTGTTTTTAACAGTTAGGAAAAATTAGACTAAACTCAGGAGACAATTATATAGAAAACAATATAAAATGATACGTTAATTATTGCTAGAAATATAAAGAATAATTTAATGAGACATTTTTCATTACAGACTCTAACAATGTCTCTAAAGGTCACTCTACTTGTGGTGTCACTGATTTCTCAGTGCTGTTCTGCACCATATGTAAGCACAGGCTGATTTTTTTAAAACAAAATCTCCCGTTTAGACCTAAACATAAAGAAATTCTCTAAATGTTTTTCTTTTTTACAGAGGAGAAACTGGACTCCTCAGGCAATCCTCTACCTAAAAGGAGCACGTAAGACCGACATTTGTAGCAGAAAAATACAAAAATGTTATAGTTTTCCATTCTAACCCAACCTGTTAAATGTCGCTCTTTCTCAGAGGGACAGCGCTCGACCCTGGAGCGCAGCAGCAGGGAAGAGGAGGGAGCTTACCGCTTAGGTTTGCTATTTTTTGCTTTATTCAATGATTTACTAATTAAAATAATTAATAAAAGTTGTTTTTTTTTAATGTTCTTCAATTCTGCTTTTAGATTTATTAAGAAATTTCATGCATGAAAGACCAGAAGGGATCCAGCAGCTGCATTTGACTGGCTCCTGTGAAACTATGGTTCAGCTCGTAATTTACACATTTGATAATTTTCCAAATGTTTCTGTTTTATATTTCTTTAGTAAACTTTAATGAGATCAGCGATGGAACGGATTTGTTTCCAGCTTCAGTCGTCCAATCAAAGTTCTTGCAAAGACCTGCAGAAGCAGGTAAACGTTTGCACCTCATTTTCATGTCTCATAATCTTCTTAGTAGTTTAATCCGTTTTTCTTTCTCCTCAGGCGAAGGCAGACCTGAATATCACCAAGACTGGAATTTAAAATATATGTGATTTTCTTTTTTCATGATCCAGTTGTTGTATTTTCTGGATCTTTTAACCTTGAAATGTTGGTGAGAATAGTTCATCTGCATAAAATTGACTCAGAAATAAACTTTATTGTTTGGCAACTGCATTTCTAAACTGTACATTGATTATTATTGACTGCATTCTCTTAATATTATATGTGTTTATTGGCAGTTCTGAATAAACCTGGGAAATTAATTTTAGCATTTTTGAAGTTTTTTGGCTTTTCAAATGTTATTTTTAGTTTTTTTGCTATTTCCCTTACTCTTTTTTTTGGTTGTTGATGCTACCAGCCGCATGCATTTCTACACTCCTATCCTTCCCACTTCAATCCATGGCAGTCAGTCTGTGGCTGTTTCCGAATTGTGCAAATTGTTGCTCCTAGCTCAGTTCCGTTCACCTTTTGTGGGATTCCGTAAAAGTTCAAAAAATATCCACAGGACTTGGTTTCCAAGATTTGAAGACGTTTCGCCACCTCTCCAGGAAGCTTTCTCAATTTAAATGCCTGGATCCGCAGTGAGTTTGAGTCTTATATAGACAAGGCCTTGTATTGCTTGGAAACATGCAAATGGTAACCGATGGTAACCGATGTGGGGTTAACAGAAAGAACCCTATCCAGGGTATACGAAGAGCTCCAGGCTGCTGGTTTAAATCCGGACAGCTCTTTCTGGTGTTAATAGACAACAGAAAAGCACATGGATGATGCTTGTCAATTCTGGGACCGCACTCTTCCAGAAAACAAAAACAAAAAACAAAGCTCTCCATTATTAAACCACAAACATCAACATGTTTCAGACAGAGTACAAATGAAGGCTAAGGACTGTGGGCAACCGTATAGCTCCTATGGGGCAGATAGGAAGGTCAGGAGGTTCCTATGCTAAGTGAACTAAAGATAGGAAGCATCCTGCTTCCTCTCTTTACCTCCTTAGTGCCAGCACTACTTGGACAGCACTTATCAAGGCAATTGTTGGTGCAGTTCCACTTTAACCCCTAGAACCCTACGGACCCACCGGTGGGTCCAGCTGCTACGTGACCTCGTAATTTTAACAAACCCCCAGTATTGATGTAAAAAACACATTTGGCACAGTTTGGTGACATTTATGGATAAATGTGCCAAAATGGCCTCTCCGCCTAAGAAATTTCTCACTAATACCATTCTAAAATAAATATGATTCATCTGATTGAGTCCAAATTTGGTATATTTTTACACAACATTTAGATTTAAAAGTCTGTACTACTTTTTGTGCTATAAATAATATTTTGGTAGTGTTTTGCAATGTTTATTTCAAAGAAAATTTTGGCGAGGTTCAAAAAATGCAAAATATTTTGTATTTTGTCCCTAATATTTCAGGCAGGGTCAAAGCTACAATGGTACTGACACCAGAAAACCATTCTATGACATCTTACCTTTACAGACGTACCAAAAGTTTCTTCTTAAATCTAATAGCTGTGAGGCTATAAGTTATTTACTTTTGTGTGTTTTTGTCAGGCAGAAATTTATTCATACCCCCTTAGGGTGTAAGAGGTTAAGTGTCTTTACCAATTCGTCCTATTGGAAATAGTCTACTCACTGTATCAGTTTGTCTTTCTCTTTTTTCTTATTTTCATTTAAAATTCCTTCTTTTCAAGTGTATTTCTTCACCTCTGTTTTTCCTTACCTCTTTTCTTTGAGTATTTATTCCTTCTGCACCCAATTAATGCTCAACTTCCTCAAGCTCTACTTTCTTCTATCCTTCCTTGTATCCTCATTTCCTCTTTTCCCCCAGGATCCTTATTGATTTTCCTTCTTTCTTTGTATTCTTTGTCTCTTTGTATTCCTTCCTTTAGGGCCTCTGCACTTCAGACACAGCCTCCATAAATCATAATGAATGTTTGTATTATGTGTGTTAAAATAAAGGGCTAGAAACTGAAAAGTTTTATCTAGAAAAGTCTTGCGACACCTTGAATTTTGTCTTTGAAATGTGTCGGAATCTCTTTATTAATATGAAAAAAGCTCCAGGCAGCAATTACACCAGTCCCTTCTTAAAACACTAAGTGATTATCAGCAGCATCAATCTAAACATCATCACACTGTCAACGCTGACGTCCTTGAAGGAGTCACGCATAGGTCAGGGTGATGCTATTCACATTTAGATCGAATTATGTGTCTCTGCAGCGCTACAATAATAATGTATCTTTAATGTGTGCCAGTGAATACATGAAACTGCATTACAGCAAAACTTTATTTTGCATCAAAGCAAAAGTTCTCCATTGCACCTCGATGCATTAAAACATATCGCTTTGTTAATTTAAAATCATTCTATCCCCTCTCCAACAAAAATAAATGTTCAAAGTGACATCTAATGCTAAATTTGACCAAATTCTACAGAAAGCAGTGAGAGAGGTGCAGATACACTGAATGGCTTTTTGTGACTGCAGAGTGAAGGTCTGATGTTATGTCGCCCCCTCGTGGTCTGTTAGATGTCCCGCAGGTCCCTCTGGATGTCCCACAGAGTGTTGGCACTGGCCTGCAGTTGGGCAACCTCTTCATCTGTCAGGGTCATGTTTATGACACTGGAGATGCCGCCGCTGTTTAACACGCAGGGCAGACTCAGGTATACTTCTTCACTGATCCCATACATGTCCTGTTGATGCAGGGAAAAAAATCACGTTGAGAGGCAAGTCACTGTAATTCCTGTTTCTATCATGTTATAAAGATGTTTTAAATGAGAAAATCAGTTAATCGGTTATTTAGAGCCTTTTTAAAGTGTTCGGTGTCAGTTGTCAAAAGATGGACAGATATAAAACCAATTTTCAAATGACAAAGCCACAAAAAGCTTTTGATATCTGTTTAGCCCTAAAAACATTTTTCTTTTTTCAAACTAAAACAACATGTGTTTTTTTTTTTGTAATAAACAAAATTAGGAAATAAACAAGTTTAATTTATGGGTTTTGTTTGTAGCAAGATGTAAGTCTGTTGTGGAGAGTGTGATCTACTTTTCCATCATCTGTTGGAGTAGCAGCATCAAAGCAGCTCACTCAAAGATTAATAATAACACAAATAAAAAAAAAATAAATAAAAAAATAATAATAATAATACATTGAAAATGTAATGCATTTAGCTGGAGATAGGATATATTCATATTATATTTTTATTATAAAATGTAGAAAAAAATGGGAAAAGTAATGCAATTAAATATAAGTTTTATCTTTTTTTATATAGTGATGCTGCGTTAGAAACCAAGAAAACCAAACTTGATAAAGTGGGTAGATTATAAAAAAACAAAACAATAATACTTAATTAATAAAACAAGTAAAATGTTAAATTAATCGTCTGAATAATTGGATACAGTATATATATATATATATATATATATATATATATATATATATATATATATATATATATATATATATATATATATATATATATATATATATATATATATATATATATATATATATATATATATATATATATATATATATATATATGTGTGTATATATAAATCAGTAAAATCACATAAAAGTCAAAAATATTAGCAACATTAAATCCAGGAAATCAGTAGAAATTTTTCCAAAACTGGCCAAATATCCACATTTATAAGAAGCAGTGATGCTAACTTCATAACCTGGTAAAATAATAAACTGCTAAAATTAAAAACTGAGAGCATCAGCTCAGCTGGTTGGTATTTGCCTCAAGTTATATAAAACGATCAGGATTTGAGATAATTTGAAAAGATTAAAAGGATACTTTGATTGTCTGGTAAATAGTACTAAGATTTTAGAAAGGGTGTAAAAAAAGCTAGCTACCTCTGGCATCATTTCACATCAAAATCTAGATGTTACACCTCATCTTAAACTGAAAATGCTTTAGGAAATTATCATTCCAAATGGAAAACCTTTGATTAGTCTGCAAATCATTTATGCATGATTATTAGATTCAAAGACAGAGAGCATTGATCCCTTACCTTCACCATGGTGGAGACAGGATGGATTCTGTTCATGTTCTTCATCAGGCTCTCAGTTAAGTCGGCCACACTCAGACCGATGGCCCAGTTGGTGTAACCCTTCAGTTTGATCACCTCATATGCGCTTAGAGACACAGAATTACACAATGTTACAGACAAAAACAAACCTGTGCCAAAAAAATATCTGGACTTAATTTTTTTAATGATTTTTAACCCTATGTCAAAAAAAATCTCTTGTATAAGACTCTCCTGTTTTTCTAGGAAAAATCAAAGGGAATCAAATTTATCTCTGTTTACAAAAAACATGCTAGTAAATGTGCAGAATAAAAGCTATGGGTAGTGATGTTAAGGCTTTTGAGACTTGCTTAGATACCAAAAAGCTAAAAAATATCTTTTTTATTTATAACAAAGTTGTAAATTTTCCTCTTATGAGGAAAACTTCTACACTGATGTTTTTTGCACATTGGGCAAAAAATAGCATTCGTCAATTTAACAGTAACAAACTGAATAAAGTAAATTTTCACTTTTAGAAAATTTAACATTAAAAATTATTGTTTTATTCTCTTTTAAAATGACTGATGTATATAGATATTGCAAAGTGTTTATGAACATTAACATAGTAATCAGCTTTTTGTTTCATTCGAGTATAAATGTGAAAATACAGAGGTATATTTGTCTACGCCATTCTTAAAAATGTAAAGACAGGAGAATATTTAAGTATTGCTGAAATAAATCAGCTGAGTCTTATGCAGGAAATGGCACCAGTAAAAAAAAACAAAATGGCCTAAAACTGTATTTTTGCAAGAACAATAATTATTGTTGATTTCCAAGCTTAAAGGGGCACTTTCAGAGATCAACAAATCTCCTGCTGTTTATGAGGGAAGAAATGCAAAAGGGAAAAACATATTTTCTGTCCTATCACTAAAAATGTGTTAAGACAAGTTAACTGAAACATGCTTTGATCAGATCAGAATCCAGCTTAACTGGTTTACCAGCAACTGGTGAACAAGTACTATAAATCAGTACATCGGTTCCCTCTCTCTCCTGTGTAGATCATGAGATAAATATAAGCTATTTGGAACATTTCAATGAAAAAACATATTACAGAAGGACTAAATATAAAACAGCACAAATTGACTTCTAAGTTGACGTCAAGCTTACCTGTCGACCACCATTTTGTGAGTTTCTTTCCAGTTCTCTTCATCAAAGTCTGTGCCAATGTTAGGGTTTAACACCTGCAGGTTGACTCCT